CGAGAACACATTCAAGTTCAAGGCAAAAGATCAGCTCTGTCTGACCTGCTGAGTATTTCTGCACAGGGTTCTCTGGTTCGATCTCGTTTCCAGAATTTGGTTAAAATGTATGCTCCCTCTCACTTTTTCCTTGGTTTGGAGCGTAAGAATGGTCAGAAGAGGCTGCGGTCTGACACAGGGCAGCTGCTCCAGGAGTTCGTCAGTGTGCTGTTGGCTTTTACCAGGAGCTGTACAAGGTGGAGTTCCAGGAAGAACCAGAGGTGGCACTGTCCTTCTATGCGGGCCTTTCTAAGGTCTCTGAGGAGGATAATGCAGAGCTGGAGGCATAGCTCTCTGCTCAGGGCTGCAGGAGGCCCTGCAGAGCCTGCAGAGTGGGAAGGCTCCCGGGATAGACGGTCTTCCTGCGGACTTTTATAAGACCTTCTGGTCTGTCATTGGTGAGGACCTGGTGTGTTCTCCGGGACAGTCTGAGTACAGGGAGATGCAGGAGAGCTGTCCTCACCCTCCTCCCAAAGAAAGGAGATCTGCAGGACATTAAGAACTGGCGTCCTGTGTCTTTACTTTGCACAGATTACAAAATGTTGTTGAAAGTGTTGGCAGTATGACTGAGAAAAGTGATGGAGCATGTCATTCATGTAGACCAGACATACTGTGTACCAGGTAGGTTGATATCTGACAACATTACTCTAATTCGGGACATTTTGAACCTCTCTGGTTCTTTGGGCTGTGAGCTTAGTTTGATTTCTCTAGATCAAGAAAAGGCTTTTGACTGAGTTGAACACCAGTACTTGTGGCAGACATTGCAGGCTTTTGGGTTCAGCTCTGGTCTCATAGTCAAGATCCAGGTCTTGTACAATGACATTGAAAGTGTACTTAAGATTAATGGTGGTTTGAGCGCTCCATTTAGAGTTCAGAGGGGAGTCAGACAGGGTTGCTCTTTGTCAGGTATGTTATATGCACTGGCCATAGAGCCCTTTCTGCATAAATTAAGGTTACGTTGGTCTGGTTTCTCTTTTCCTGGATGTGAAAATTGTTTTAAGTTGTCTGCATATGCCGTCGATGTTATTGTTTTTATAAAGAAACAACATGATATTAATGTTCTTGATGACACTGTGGGTGACTTTAGTAGACTCTCCTCTGCTAAAATGAACTGGGGAAAAAGTGAAGCCTTAGCAGTAAGAGAAGGACTGATTAACAGGTTGGTTTTACCTGGAGGCCTTGTGTGGAAGAGAGGAGGACTTAAATATCTTGGGGTTTACCTCGGTGATGAAACTCTCTCTTCTAAAAACTGGGAAAATCTTCTTGAAAGAGTTGAAGGCTGACTTAAAAAATGGAAGTGGAATTTACCAAAACTCTCCTTTAAAGGTCGGATCCTGATTATTAACAACCTTGTGTCCTCTATGTTGTGGCACCGGCTGGCGCTCACAAACACTGTAAACCTGCTGCCCAGAGTGCAGGCTGTCGTGGTGGATTTCTTTTGGGACCGTCTGCTTGGGTCCCATAGAGTGTCCTCGTTCTGCCCAAGGAAGAAGGGGGACATGGTCTCGTCCACTTGGCGAGCAGGGGGGGGTGTTTTCAGGCTCCAGTTTATCCAAAGATTCCTGACTGGACCTGCTGACCTGCTTTGGAGACCTGTAGCTGGAGCCATACTGGAGCAGTGTGGTGGACTGGGTCTGGCTGAGTCGTTGTTTTTAATGGATCTAAATAGATGTAAGTTGGACAACCTTCCATGTTTTTATAAAGGAATTTCCAAATTCTGGGGAATGTACAGTAAGGAGAGACCAAAGAACGATGTTTCTTTGTTCTGGCTTCTTAAAGAGCCAGTGGTTCATGGGACTCGTCTCCGGTGTGAAGCTGGGCCAACCCTGCTTCAGAAACTGTGTGAGGCCAAGATCCTCACGCTGGGCCGTGTGGTGGAGGTGTGTGGCCCTCGCCTGGACACGCTGCAGGTCTGGCCCTCACGTTTGGGGATCAGTCAGTGTGATCAGTCTCCTACTGAGAGGCTGGAAACAGCAGCTAACTCCCTCTGAACTGTTACTTACAGCTGCTTATTGTAATGGACTGATTTAGCCTAATGTTACTGATCCTCTTCCAGAGGTGAACATTGTTCCTGCCTTTACATGTGATGTTTTGTTGTTGAAGTTGAATGTTGCTGATTACAAACTGAGCAGCATGGTTGGAAAAACAATGTACTACTTGCTAGTAAAAATTTTAAATCAGGACGAACTAAAAGGTCGAGTTGACACTCCCCGGAGGACTCATCTGTCCTTGACAGAGGCTCACAGACCTGAGTGGAGTGCTCTGTACAAACCACCATTAACAGAGGGTTGGTGATTTACAGTGGAGGGTTCTGCATGGTGTTGTTGCTGTGAATGCTTTTGTTTCTGTGATTAATTCAAATGTTGCTGATACCTGTCCCTTCTGTGCACAGAGAGAAACTGTTTTTCATTGTTTTTTGTGATGAGTGTGGTCAACTCTTCTCTCTGTTTCGGTTTTTTAGTTTCAGATGTTTGGTTTGTGTGATGAGGTTTTCTCACAACAGATGTTCATTGTGGGCTACGGGTACAACAGGAAAGGAAAAATTAAATGTCAATTATTGAATTATTTGTTGGGTCAAGCAAAAATGGCGATTTACCTGAGCCAGAAAAACAAGCTGGAAGACTCAATAAATGTTGATGCAACAGTCATTTATAAGTTGATGCTAAAGGCAAGACTGAAAACTGATTTCAGTTTCTTTATGTTGACAAGTAATGTGGAGGAGTTCAAGAAGACTTGGAGCCTCAAACAAGTGCTGTGTTCTGTAGAAAATGATGAGTTGGTTTTTGGTCAGATGTTGAAATGAGTAAAGTTTAATTTATTTAATTTATTTTTATTTTATTTATTTTCGAGTTTTTTGTTTTATTTATTTCTAGAAAATTTGTTATTGAGCAAATAAAAGTGGTTTGAAAAATAAAAAAAATCAATCTCTCTTTCTCTCTCTCTCTCTCTCTCTCTCTCTCTCTCTTTTACTGTAGCAAATGTTTTATATACACTCTGGTTGCAACTGGAGTGGACTGCCTAGAGGTACATTGCAATCGTCAGGGCACAAAGGATTCTGGGCTTTGTAGTAGGCTATTTTACACTTCTGAACAATACAGAAAATGTCACCCATTTTCACTGATTCCTATGACCATATAGACAGCGATTGAAAGCAACAAAGATAATTACTAGTACTGTATACTGAAGTACAATTTTCTGCTACTCTTACTTCACTTGAGTATTTCCATGTCGTGCTACTTTATGCTTCCCACTCCACTACAATTCAGAGGCGTATGGTTACAGACTGCATTGTCTTCAGTCATTAATATAGGGCTCCTGACTATAAGTAATTCCGCATTTTAAAAAAAGTTACATTTGTGGTGTTTTTTTCAGTCATACCGCACACACACATAGACACAAAGATACAAAGACACATACAGACTGTGCTAAGAGATCTTAAAAAAAAGCAATTGACTTAACATCAGTCAATGGTATGAGCGAGAGGCAAACTCCCGTCCATCGATCCAAAGACATCATCTATCCCTCACACCCAACAGAGTTCCTGACATCACTGCTTGTCATAGTTCCTTATGTAATTGGCATGTAGTGTGTCTAATTGAGCTTCATTATTTCAGGGTTCGTCTGGACTCTCTCTCTCTCTTTCTCTCTCTGTCTTTTACTGCAGCTGAACATTTTGATTGTTGAACGGTTTCTATAGGACAAAGTATGAAGGAGTAGTTAGAAACCGTAAAAAAGCAGAAATAGAATAATGATAATAATAATAATAATAATAAAGGTTGCTACAGCATTCACACTAATAACTACAAAATGTGTGTGAATGCTGAGAGCTGAATGAGATTGCTAAAGCAATGCTGAAGAAGCTGAAGCATTGCTGAAGTAGCTGAAGCAACTGCTAAAGAAGCTGAAGCAATTGTGTGTGTGTTTATATATATTAGTCTGTGTTTTCAGTTTGTGTGTGTGTATGTGTGTGTGTCTGTATCTGTTTGTGTTTCTGTGTCAGTTAGGATGACAGACTGAAATTAACTGCCAAATGCAGAAAAAGGTACATAATATCATCAAAATTATCACATGGTCAATGCCACAAGACTCTCCTGAACACCTCCATGTGGTTTTGGGTGTTTCTGGAGCCAAAATTGTAGAAATAGGAGCGATTTACAAAAAAGGGTCAGTTCTGGTTTTCTCCTGAAATCCACTCCTGAATATTTATTGCAGTCTATGGGACAGTTGTAGGGTACTCTCATCACTTGGAGGGTTACATTTCAAATTCTGTTACTCTCTTTGCTAAGGTAGCCACTTTACATGAAACAGGACAAATTTGTCTACTAATGAGGAAGAAATTAAGTGGCCATAAGGAAGAGTTACACAAATTTTTTCAGACAAATTTTAGAGCTTCTCCCACTCTAGTAATGATGTCATCTACTCTAGCCCTGAACATTCCGTGCAATACACACCCATCATAAGAAAAAAGCATGAAACTAACACTGTGATAATTCAAAAACTGCAGTATATACATTTGTGTGTATGTGTATGTGTGTGTGTGTGTGTGTGTGTGTGTATATGCACAGGTACAATGACCAGACATTTGCTTGTGCAAAATATTGTTGATGTTGTTGATGAACTGTAGTGTTAATATGTTTTGTTGTTGTTACCTTTGAATGTACTTGTTTCCTGTTGATGCTGCCATGTGCAGAGTGCTTTGACAGTGCTGTATTACTGTGCTACTGTCCTGTCAATAAAGTCTCTTTGAATTTGAATTTGAATTTGAGAGAGAGAGAGAGAGAGAGAGAGAGAGAGAGAGAGAGAGAGAGAGGGAGAGAGGAACAGAGAAACAGAGGGGGGGGGGTGAGGAAGTGGATGAGATAAGAGATACAGAGAGAGAGAGAGAGAGAGAGAGCGAGAGAGAGAGAGAGTTGCACATGTGCACATGTGAACTCATAGAGGAAGTGAGCAGAGCACCAGAGCTGAAACTAACGGACACTAGCAGCATCTGAACATGCAGCCACCACCCAGGAAGGTAAGACAGAGCTGAGCTGACTCTATGTTAATGTAGAGTGTAATGTAGAGAGTTTGCTGCTGGCACACACTTGTCTCTACTTCTCCACCTTCATTTAAAGCTAATACATTAAATTAAATTTGAAGAGCATTTCAGTTAAAACACTGATACTTTAGTTTATGTATTTTACACAATATGCTAAAAAAATATAGATTTATAGATTAATTTAAAAAATATTTGTGTATAAGATTATTTTGTGTTTGGACAGTGGATACAGTTTCTTGATCCTCTGTAAGGACAAAACCATTTGTCTGTAAGTGTTTTACAGTGTATGTACTAAACACAGATGTCTGTATAAGATCATTTAGAGTGTACGTTGTAAGGTATTTGAGAACTTCACATATTTGTGAACTCCAGAGTTGGACTTCATGTCGTCCCTTTTCTGTTGTTTATGACTGGAGACAGTTGTAACTGAGCTTCAAAGTGAAAGCTGATTAAGCTATCTCAGTGAGATCAGTTGTGAAACAGTGTACTGCTGTGTAGTGACCAGTGCTAACAGTGTCGTAATAGTAAATGTTATATGCGTGTATGTAGAGAAGGGAGATGGTTGTAACCTTTTTGACTTTTCTGTCTCTACTTTTTAAGCCAGTGTGCTCAATATGTATCACAAGCTAGTCCCATGTGTCTGCTATTACATGGTGGAGCTGTTATTTCTGCAACACAAACAGAACATTAAAGCTGCAAGCAGCGATGAACGGGGCCTTCACACTCCTGCGCACCTAGGGGGGGCTCACAGCACGCCATTGAATTTGTCACACATCGGAGCGACCGCCGGACACTGCGTTCATGGGTTAAGACGGACTGTGTGGCAACAGAAAAGATTTAAAGGATTTTTATATGCATTCTCAGGTTTGACCACTAGGTGGAGCCAGAGACCACATAATAGGCACACATGAGGCTCTATATTAAACCTTACACTGAAAATGTCATGTAAATGACAGGATTGTCACATAAGAGTTGCTTACTATTTTCAGTAGGTGGTGCCGTGACTATAGTGTTATATTAGTATGCAGATGCCATCAAACATGTAAAATTTGGGGAAGATTGAGCAAAGTATCATAGAGTTATAACCACTTCCAATATTTCCATTAGGTGGCACTATGAGTATTACTAAATATGAGCATGTAGATGTGTTCAGGGCGGGAGTCTCATCACACCTATAAAATTCGGCTTATTTGGACACTGCATGCTGGAGTTATAGCATCTTCCTGTTTCACTGTGCCGCCACAGGCGGGCCCTTTAACGAAAAGTCAAAAGCTCTGCACTATAGAATTGCACTGGTCTGAAGATGAGAATATACCACCAATGATCTGGAATTGGACAATCCTTCATGGACATAAAGCCACTTCCTGTTTCGTATTTAACACACCGCCTTAAAGTGAAAACTCCAAACTGACATTCAAGAAGGATCAGCATATTCAACAAATTATTTTCTGACCCTTTTTTTGAGGGCCAGGTCAATTGTCTAGGAATAATAAATGAAAAAGTAAATCATAATACCACATGTTGCGTAGAGGTGGCACTATAAATACTACTAAATATGGACATATAGTTCTGTTCAGGGCAGGACTCTCATCAAATCACAAATCATGGGGCTGTTTGGACAATGCGTGCTGGAGTTATAGCGAGTTGAATTTTCATGGCAAAGGATCAAAATTCACTATGCCACCACAGGCAGTCTGTTCTATGAAAAGTCACAGTTTTAACTACAGTGCATCATCAAGTTGTTAAAAGCATTTCCTGGCCATGTTTGGATCATGATTCGATCAACCTACTGTGAGCAGTATATCAAAGTGTAAAACATGACACTTCCTGTTTCCACAAGGGGGCACTATGAGTATCACTGAATATGAGCATATAAGTGTGTTCATGGCAGGACTCTCATGACACACAGAAAGTTTCAGGTAGTTTGGACAATTTGTGTTGGAATGAGAGCAAGCTGATTTTTTATTGGCAAAGGATCAAAATGCGCCATGCCATCAGGGGTGGGTCCAACAGCGAAAACTCAAAAGCTTTGCAATTTAACATCACAAAGGTCTTGAGATGCTGACCACAGATCATGTCGATCTGATGAATTCCCTAGGAGGAGTTCATTGAAGTACATGACCCCCAAATCACAAAAATGGCGCCAAAATTGCAAATTGAATTTAAAATGGCTGAATTCCTGTTTGGTTGAGGGTAACAATCTAGTAATGTAAGGCTGATGACGTTAGGTAGCGAGCCTCTTCCGTGTCCCAGTCAGCAAAATACATCCAGCCCATACTCCGGCCACTTGCTTGTTTTCTTTTGGCCCAGTATATACCTGGTTCCCCGGCCCGAATCTGGTCTATATACATGATTGTCAGATGCTACTGCCACATCTAGACCAATTCTGGCACACACACAGAAACTCTTCTGGCTGTCAGTCAATACAGGAGGATAACAGCCGGAATCTGCCCGGATGAGGAAGTATATGGGCTAGACTCAGGCTGAGGACCCAGGTATATGTTGGGGCAGACGTTTCATTTACTATAGAAGTGGCATTAAGTGCGATATTTGTACATGAAATGAGCCTTCAGATAGTCTCCAATCCCTCAGCCAATCAAATGTTAACATGTCTAAATTGGTCGTCTGGGAGACATAGCTTCTAGGACGGCACATCGAAAATTATTCAATTTTACCTAACTCCAAACAGTGCGTACAAGTTAACTCAAATATTGGTAGGGGCAATTCTGTTTTCCCAAAATGTTGGTAGGGACATGTCCTTACTGTCCATATGCAAACCTACACCCACAGTGAAATGTTACAGTTCACCCTAGTTGTTAGTTGTTTACATATCTGGTCTGTTGAAATGTAGCATTATGATGTACACTGTGTGATGTTGTGGTAATGGGTGTGTGGACTTGTGTGTGTGTGTGTGTGTGTGTGTGTGTGTGTGTGTGTGTGTGTGTTTGTGCGTGCTCGGTGTCTGTCTGTCTGTCACAGGGAGCTACATATAGAGTGCTGATCAAATGATTCCTAACTTGTTCCTAATTGGAGGAATAGGAGTTGTTACAACTGACCCATATTACAACCATCCCCATTCCCCCCTACACTATAGTTTGTGTATTGCAACCTGTCTACTTTCATCTTTGTCTTCCTGGTTTTAGCTGTAAGACCTGTGTGTGTGTGTGTGTGTGTGTGTGTCTGTGTGTGTGTGTGTGTGTGTGTGTGTGTGCGCGCACGTGCTGTGTGCGTGCGTGCGTGCGTGTGTGTTTGTGTGTGTGTGTGTATCTGAGGACAGTGAGAGCAGGTGGAAATCAGAGTCAAACTTTGTTTGTGTTCATGCAGTTGATTCTGAAATATGACTGTGCGTGCAGGTGAAGGAGAGCCAGCAGGTGAAGCTGGTGTTCTCAGAGCAGCTCAGTAAACTGCAGACCAAACAGCACCAGGACACTGAGCTGCTTGAGGAGATCAGGTACTGGACTCTGTGGCACTCCATGATATGGATATGTGATGAAATCCTCCAGACAGTGGCAGGCAGAGAGATCAATAGGACAACAGAAATGGAGAATTCAAGCGTGTTAAGTTACACGTGTGTTGATGTTGTGTTCCCTCAGGTCCTTCAGTAAGCACCGGGCAGCAATAGAGAAGGGGTATGGTCAGGTGAGTGAACAGAATCTATTCTAGTCCACCATCAGTTCTGTTTCTGTTCATTGTTACTGGAAATGCTCATCACTTATTGATCTGAAGCCCAGCTCAGTGTGTGAGTGCAGGTTCTGTGTTTGTCATCTCATGTTACTCTAACTTTACTCTCATCAAATGATCCAAGATTCCACCTTTTCAGGAAAGCTCTTTTTTGCACTGTGGTGGAGAATGTGTGCATGTGCACGTGTGTGTGTGTGTTTGTGTGTTTGTGTCGTTGTGTTGTGTGTGTGTGTGTGTGTGTGTGTGTGTGTGTGCGTGCGTGTGTGTCCACATTTATGTTGACAAGTGCACACCCAACTTCTTAGCAAACATCTTATTAGTCTGACAACACGAGCTGCAAATATAATATATATAATATGCACCACCATAACACAACAGAAGTGTTTCAAGGGGACACTAAGAAGTGACAGGGTGCCTGGAGGCTCACCTGGTAAAGCACATACCATGAAGGCATAGTCCAAACCACAGAGCCCCAGGTTCAAGTCCAACCTGTGGCCCTTTGCTGCATGTCATCCCCTCACTGTCACAATCAGAATAAAGGCAAAAAATAACTTTAAAAAAAGTGATGAACCCAGCTGGCACACATTTATTGTTCAATGATTTAACTTTTTTTCATTTTAACTGTTGTGTTGTATTTGCAGCTCTTGTTGTCAAACTGATGAAGATGTTTTTTGAAGTTGTTTGTGTTTTGTCTGTTTGCATGTGTTCTCTTAAGTTGCAGTGTTTAGAGCTCTCAGGGCCACTGTACTTTTGGCTTTGCCCAGTTGTGAAAATGTCTGACACTTTGAATCATTTACATAGACAAATATTTAATATCAGTCATTTTAGAAGTGTGGTTGTTTGTCAGCAGCAGACAGAGAAACACAGGGCCAATCATTTTACAACACACCATGACACTAAAGAGGAATACATAAGAGTGACCAGAGGGAACCTTTAAACTAGTCTACAGCCATACCGTTACAGATGTGCTATGAGCTAAATGCTAATGTCAGAATGCTAACATGCTTGTAATGGCAATGCTAAAGTTTAAGTTGAGTTAGCACATACACCAAGTACAGCTGATGAAGGCTGATGGTTCTGGGTAATAAACACAAAATATCAGACAAACTGAAGTTTTGACCTGATGATGGTGTGCAGCTGTAAACATCTGTTACTTCATTTTAACACAAAAACCAACTAAGCTTATCCAGAGATAACAACAGCAAGTCAAGGTATTAAGAAATAATGATCCTGAAGTGAAGCCGACTGAGTACAGCTCAGTGTCAGTGTTGAGACAGAGGTCACAATGAAAACCAGAGGTTCTCCATCTCCAGGCCACAGTCACAATCAAGTTACTACTACAACAGAGGCCCCTCAGTCAAAGCATGTTGTGTTGTTGATACATGTTACTGTGTTTTCTGTGGTTGTGAACTGTATTTCAGGCTCTTCAGAGGTTAGCTGTTCAGTACCAGAAGAGAGACTGGCAGAGAGGAAACATAGATGCTATCACTTCTGGGTAACTCCACACTCCTTACACAAACGTCTCACCAGCTGTTTCTACGGAGTTCCTTTTGTGTCAAAAATTTGTATTGACTGAACATGTGACTATTTGTCTGTGTCTGTTCAACTTTGAACTGCACTTCAGTTTAATGCCACCAGGCCTCTGGCTCTGACTGCTGACATCATCTTCAGTAGAAAGTCAGTCGTGATGATTTAAACATGTTTTCCAAAACAATGGTTTTGTTTATGCAAATACACAATGTTGCTTCCAGGAGATGAGGTCTGATAGCTATGAAACCTTTTAGTTGTTGCAGACCAGTTCTACAGGGTTGCCCACTCTTGCATGTGGAGCACTAAGTGCAGCTGACACAGATTTTACAATCTCACACCACATTACATTACATTCGTAAGGCTAACTTTTCACCTTTCTGCGATCATGGCTGTATCCACCACTGAGGTCACCAAGGTCTTGGCCTATTATTTCCGAGCTGTGTTTAATAGTCATGACAAAATCGGCTAAAATAACTCTACAATGGTGCTGCAAAGATGTTGTACAACACCAAGATCAGTCTAAACATATCTCAATAGTTAGTTGATCATTTCGATCATTTCAGTGACTTTATTTAAGTTGAGGGTTCTTACCCGCAAACTGCTTTGGTATTTGAGAATATAGCTAAACCTTTTGGTGGTGAACACCACCCAAATAATACAAAAAGTAGCTCCAGTTAGCACAACTCTTTTCATTTACCCATTTAAATGAGAACTTTCCCTGATGAGCAGAAAAACCATCCAATCTGGCAACTGAATACAGGATAGTACACAGAGGCTTATAATATATGATTACAGAAAGATGCTTGGATGTGGACTGTTAGTTTTTATAGTTAAGCCACTGGTGCTGGTGTGTGTGTTTTCAGAAGTGTGTTTGGTGTGTGGCGGTCAATGGTGGATGCTATAGCTCAGACTGCTGAATCACGACTTGCTGCTGCTGAGGAGTACTGCAGGCTGACGGGACAAGTCTCTAGAAGCTTCCGCAACACAAAGGACATCCGAGCTAAGAGAGTGAGAGAGCTACACAAACTACACACACATACACACACACACACACACACACACACACACACATACAGTACACTTACAGAGTGATACTTTAAACAGGAACTCATAATTGCAATACACTGCACTGTGACCATGAAATATATATGTGTGTGTGTGTGTGTGTGTGTGTGTGTGTGTGTGTGTGTGTGTGTGTGTGTGTGTGTGGTAGGGCCTGGAGCGGCTCCAGAGAGTACAGGGTGAAGTGCTGGATGCCCTGCGAGAGCTGCACTTGATCAAAAAGACGTACCATCGACTCAGCCACATCGCCAACATCGCCAGAGAGAAAGCTGCTGATGCACAGACCAGGTGAATGTCTGTGGTACAGAGAGAGAGAGAAGAAAGAAGACGTGAGAAGAAAGTCTAATATAAATCAATGAAAAAGATATAAATGTATATGCCCAACTTGAAAACCCTCCATGGGAGGAAAGAAGAGGGGGAAAAGTGAGTGATGGGCCCCTGCTGGGCCACCCTGGCTGTCTGCTGCAAGGGCTGACAGTTGCAGCTCTGGGTGGTTGGGCTGGGGCCCCCTTGCTTGCCCCTCTGGCGTTCTGGTGCGGACTCTCCCCCACCCCTTCTACATGAATAGATAGATAGATATCATATATTATCATATTATTATTATTATCATATTATTATTATTATTATTATTATTATTATCATGCTGTCTGTATATATACATGCACATATACATTGCTGCTAATACATTATTAGTATTATTATATATCATTGTTATCACACATCAATATCATTGCTATCATTACTAACTATTATTATTATTATTGCATACAATATATTTTATTAGAACATCCTATCACTCACACACACACATACACCCCTACAATCTCATATACACTTTGTCTATTATGTTTGTCACAATGTCTTCTTTGTCACTTTCTGTTTGTCACTTTTTTTGTTTTCACCAATAAAAAAAAAGAAAAGTAAAAGATAAGCAGGTTCATCTATGAGGAGGTACATACACTTTGCATGTACAAGCAATATTCATGTTGATTGTTGAAGTGTCTGAAGAAGAGCTGAGGTGTGGTAAGTTTCAGCTATGCTCCTGTAGGTGTTTGACCCTAACAACACCATGAGGCACCACTGAGTTCAAAACATCACTTCCTTGACTCAGTCAAAACTAGATCAAATGTGTTTCACAGTAGAGGACCACAGCCAACATGTCTTATCCTTGGAACTCGCTGCAGAGCACGTTCGTCAGCCATTCGTGGATCTTGAGAACATTTGTTCCACCCTGCATGAAGACAGTACTATGCTAAAGTTACTGACCTGGAGGCTGAAGCAGGCTACAAAACATACACATCCTGGGTCTGTCAAGTCCATTCAAAGTGGGTGTCCCACAGAATTCTTCTCAGGTTTGCCGTACTAGGTGTTTGGGAATGAGACGCTGTCACACCGCAAGAAACTGACAGGGCCCATCACTCATTTATTGTTAAACAAGCCCTTGGATTGCGATCTTGCCCAGTCATTCTCGATCTGCACTGATACCAGAAGAAGCATTTACTCATCAGAGAGGCCCAGCAGAGAAGGAAACTCAAATTTTGTGACCAGCAAATTCTTTGGAAGTAAGCCCTGATTGTATTCCAGTGGCTGGAAAAAAATGCTCTGCTCCATGCAGCCCAACTTCACCTCATGGGGCTTTCAGACACAATGCTGCAACAGCACAACTACACTCTGAATTCATTATTACCAATGGCTTGCTGGCTTAAAAAAAGTCAGAGTAAGTGAAAGCCGGAGTAATACATTCTGTCTTATTGTGTTGTACACACAGAGGTGTCAACTGTGGACATGTTGCTATGGTGTTTGTATGTGCAAAATACAGCGAAATGAGTTGTTAACAGGTTCTAAGGTGAATGGAAGCAGCATCATTTCCCACTACCAGCCTCTTAGTTACCACTGCCAGCTTATCATCTCATTTAGTTGAGTATTGCTTTCTATAGCTGATTTCTCAGTAGTCTTCAATCTAAATTTGTCCCTCAACCTGTACCATACCTTTGTTCCTTGTCAGATCATCTGCTTCTCTTCCCATGTTTTGCCTATGTCGTTCTACCAGCAGTTTTTTGCGTGTTGCCTTTACCTGCCTGCATGTCTGCCTGTCGTCCTGCCCACCTCTTAGAATGAAATAAAAATAGGAAAGTGATGTATTGTCCCCATTGTGCAACACTGGAAGATTGAACTGTGTTAAATGCTGTCTCAGGGACAGAATGAGTTCAGTCAGAGATTATTTATGGAACTGTTTCAGATAACATATGGCTACACTCTGGATATTTATGTCTCATATGTTTTGCCTTCCAGGGCCAAAAAGAGTGAACATGGGATCTTCCACTTTAAAACTGGCCTACTGAAGATGACTGCTAAGGTATGGAGCTGAATTATGTTCATCGTCATATCAGAAATTAAAGTAAGAAGATTGTGTTTTTTATCCGTTTATCTGAGGCTTTCTACATTCATGACATGGAGGTTAATTTAATAACCATTTTCCATTTGGTGATGGTGTAAACAGCTGTGGCTTCTCTACCTATCAACATATGTATGCTGTAGTCAGGGCAATGACCTGAGGTGACCTGACGAGGTCAGAAATACAGTTTAATGAAGTACCGTAAGATTTAAGTTTAGTTATCTCGTGTGTGTGTGTGTGTGTGTGTGTGTGTGTGTGTGTGTGTGTGTGTGTGTGTGTAGCTCACTGCTAGGTTGAAAGAGTGTGACGACCGTTTGACTGAAGTTCGTAATGAGTATCTCCTGGCTTTAGCAGCAGTGAATGCCCATCACCAACACTACTATACCAATGACTTACCACATATTATGGAGGTAACACACACACACACACACACACACACACACACACACACACACACACACGCGTAAGATGTATATCTGAACACTAACCACATGATTTACTGACGTGTTGCAGGATGTTGGTCTGTTGACAGTGTTTCTCTTTCTAGAGCTTCTTTGTAATTGAAGCATGATGTGTTATACTTGTGTTAGTAATAATACAAAACTTATCTCTGTCATCATCACTGTTTCCTTGATGTTTGATGTTCTAGACAGAGAAGGTGAAATCCCCCCTTCATCCTCTGATTTTTTTTCACCAACTAATACTCAACAGTTCCGATTCACTTTGATTAGAAACTGTAGAAATGTTTGAGGAAACTGATCCTGACTGACTCATCACTTCCAAAGGGAGAGAGAGGCTGAAGGTGCCAGTTTAAAATTTGATATTAATTACCATAACAAACAAAATAAAAACAGAAAAAACAACACCATACAGTGTGCACTAACACTGCAGTGTGTATAATGAAAGGTTAACAAAAGATGTCAGTCATGTGACATCGTAAGGACAGCACATGACTGACAGCATGACTGACAGTAGTTACTCTTACACTGACAAGAGTAAGTAACAGTACAATTCAAAGAAAAGCTGCACTGTGACCTAATCTTGTAGAGAAATTACCCTGTTTTTCAAGTTTCAATAGGTTTTTAAGAAGTTTGCATTTATCAAATTACTTGAAATAAGTTGACAACATAGAAAACTACAGGTGCACACTGGGCACATATGCTGAAAGTTTTTCAGACTTTGGGCCTATAGAGTAGATACATTACATGATGACCTCCTGTTGGCTCACACACACACCAGAGTTGATTTTGTGTCCCTCCACCAAACATCACCTCACAGCCTGACATTGTCCCTGTGGAACTTTTTATGAGGAGTCCTTCATGTTCATATACACTTTATTAGGTACATCTGTTCAGGCAAATACAGTGTATAATAAATGTATAATAACAGGTTTATGACTGAGCTCATACTTAAAGCTGGTGTACTGAGAGGTGTTTCTGTTGTTTTATTCTTCCTGTTACCTGCATGAGGGGTGGTCAGAATGTTACAAACACATCTGAATATTGTGCAGCACCATCACTTGGAGCGCAATGACAAAATATATGATTTAAATAACACAAGACAGTCAACAAAAACTGAACAACCAGGCATCATAACAGTTCATTGGATTACATCAGATTAGACAGGTGTACCTAATAAAGTGGCCATGGAGTGTATGGTCTGCTCTACATGAAAGTGTTCATCTGTGATCATTTGTTTGTACTGATGAGATCTCATTGTCTGTTTCTCCTCATCAGCAAATGGATGGAGACGTTTACGATGATCTGAGGAATCACTTACTCCTGCTGTGTGGGACAGAGCTGGACACCTGTCTGTCCACACAGAAATTGTACAGCAAGATATGGGACAGTGTGGCTAAGGTGCGTGTGTGTGTGTGTGTGTGTGTGTGTGTGAGAGAGAGAGTGACTGAGTTCATTATTTTGATTGGTTTAAGGGATGACTGTGTTATCTGGTTATAGAGGCTCTTATTCTAATTCATGTTAAATCAGAGTGAGTGAAACATTTCTAATAACAGACTCACTCCGACTGGTGTTAGTGACAGACATTTGGATAATGTCTGAAAATGAGCCCATAGTTAGTCTGTGCAGCAGGTCATTATGACCTACGTTGGGAACACACTGCCTGTGTTGTGTGAGTGTGGTTGCTGATGTCGCTGAACTGCTGTGGAAAATCACATGTGTATGTTCACACTGGCTGTGTCTCTGCTGCTGCAGCTATCGCTCTACATATAGTTTACAATCTACTGTAATGTTGGATTTCTTGTAATTTATTTTTGACAGACGTCACCGAAATGAAAAACAACACATTCCTCAGCTGCCAAGCTCACGCCACAAGCCAACATATTCCTGGGCCTATAGTTAGGTTTGGTTTCTAGGTGACATCTAGTGGTCGTAGTAATTATGACGTGTGTATTTTACAATTACAAGTACTTGTCATTTATTTTAGACAGTGCCTGTCAATTAAATTGTTTTGGTTAGATATAGGATATTTCTTTCGGATCTTGAAATAGCATTGTAGGCATATAATAACATAATATTTCAATGAAAAGCCTCAGTTCGAGAGGTATATTTAAACTGAATCTCTGTCCCACTCAGTAAAACCTTAGCAGTTAAAGTCACCAGGGCAACCTCTGAGTGCAGAGAGGGGGCAAACAGGTGGATCAAATTACCTTATTAGAGACTCCTCTGATATCTGTGGTGTTTATCAACCACTTTACTGACATTTCTACATTATTTAGACACATCTCAATTGGAAATATGTTTCAGTTGAGTTTTACTCAGGAAACATTCAGCAGTTAATTTCAGTTTGTCATTCTAACTGACTCCATATGATGTATATTCTAATTGATAGATTACTTTGGAGCTATTTTTGACTCCACAGACAAGTACTTTATATCACTGACTTGGGCAGAGTCTCCTTTTTCAGAAAACAAGGCTTTAGCTGATAGGATTTAATAGTCTTTGATTGGCAAGCCAGAGGTTGAGAGGTGTGTCTAAGCTGAGTCCAGGTCTCACTCAGTAGAATTGAGCACTTGGGATCACCACGGCAACCTCTGAGTGCAGATGGACAGACAGAGGTGACTCAGATCAGCTAATTAGACGAACTCTGTGATGTTTATCAAACATTTGACTGACATTTGGCAGTTTTTCTGTCTCCTTGCTGGCGACAGACAGAGCCTGAGACATACTGGTTTCAGAATGTCCGTCCATAAGGACAAACGTCCCTTCTGGTGGACACGATATCTCAGTAACGCCTTGACGGAATTTTTGTACTGTCTCCGCTGAGACAGAGGAGAGGAGAAGCTACTAGCCCTCTCTCGCTGTCACTTCTAGTCGCGTTGCTCTCCTCCCCAGTAATGTTAAATTTAGCACCGAAAAAAACATAATAGTGGTAATTTAAATAGCGGTTCATGGGATTTATTAACCCTCAGGGGTCCCTCTGTCCTTTTTTGGACATTTTCTTCACTTTTCTTTTTTGATTTGCTGATCATTTTGGCTGTGTTACAGCTGAAGGTATGGATTTCTGCAAGAAAGTGTCTTTTTTGACATATTTTTAAAATATGTCAGTTACTGTTACAGGTCTATTATACACTGGTAACACATTTTGTACCCTCTGGAGTTCCTCGCGTCCAAAAAAAGGACACAAAGAAAATGCTATAAAATCATCATATAAATATTTTTCTGCTTTTTTTTTTTGCATAGATCTCTTAAACCACTTCAGTTCTGCTCAAACCTACCAAATGTTTATTAGTTTTCAGGATTTTAACCCTTTAAATGCCAGTTTGAAGACATGTTGCCTCTTGTTTTATTAAAAAAAACAACACAGAATATGAGATATTTCCCACATAATACATGATGGAGGGATGTGACATTGTTTTATATCAGAGTCTTTTATATCAAGACATTTCTCAAAACCAGAATATGATCAGGGTGACTTTTGAACACTGGAAATAAATCATGTACTCATCCCGGCAGTAGCCCCCGTGGCACTCAAAATTTCCCTGGAATTTTCTAGTTCTTACTTCTTCCCCCTGTCTATGGTCTCTAACTACTCCTTCATACTTTTTCCTACAGAAACCAGTCAACTATCAAAACATTCAGCTTGATCTGTAGATTATCAGATGTATACAACTTTTTTTCTACTATTTATAATTTTCAAAATAAGTTTTTTCTGCAATTTTTTTGCCATTCAAATGAATGGAGAGAAATCCTTGAAAGCTTCAGCCTCTGAGCTTCAACTACTTCAGCATACTTTCAGCTACAGACTTCATTCAAACTTTAAGATGTTCACAAGACTTTCAGCTATTAAACTTGTATTCAGCTTTTTGATATCTTGTACAGTTTTTGAATTATCAGTTTTAGTTTCATGCTTTTTTCAGATCATTCTTGAGTTTATAATGGGTGTGTGTTGCATGGAATGTTCAGGGCTAGAGTGGATGACATCACTGCTAGAGTGGGAGAAGCTCTAAAATTTGTCTGGAGAAAAAAAAAAAAAAAAAAAAAAAAAAAAAAATCTGTACCTTGTCCTTACGGCAACATATTTGGATCTTGACACTTTATTTCTTCCTCATTAGTAGACAAACTTGTCCTGTTTTATATAAAGTGACTACCTTATGTGGCGAGGGTCTGGGTGGATGCTCACACTAACAGATGTAAAATATGGTTTAGAAATTTACACAGTGCACAACAATGCCACCCTGGGAATTTCACCCAGGGAATTTTGGTTCCAACTACTGGACACACAGGTTCGCTCTATTCAGTTAGCATAAGACGTGGTTCGTGGTATAAAAATATTTTATTACAATTGGTTAAAATAAACAACAATCAAAGTCATTCACACAAAAGAAGGGGACTAGTCAGGAGCAGAGGCTTACCGGGTGGACAGATATTAGTGAACGGGGAGTGGTTCACCCAAAATAAATATAAATAAATCACCCACGCACACACACGTTGAAGTAACCAACACCAGGGAGCACAACACATCAAAGGAGGGGACACCACCACCAGTCACCGACACCACCACCGGCCTCCAACAACTGAAACAAGAATAAAATATTAGGGGAGTTGCAACTCAAAACAAAAAGAAATAAACCAGTAATGGGCAAGTTAAACCTAGGAAACAGATGTATAGCCAACAAAAGGAAACCTAAATGCCCAAATGATAACTGCCCAATAGAAATCAAAACAAAACAATTCAAAGGAAATACACAATTCAAAATATTGTTTAACACAAGAAAAACAAAGGAAATCTAATTAACTGATCAAAAGAAACCCAAAGAAATGAAACAAAATAACCTAAGTAATTAACCCAAATTCAACTTATACAACCCACACCTCACTCATACAATTAAATCGACTAAAAAAAAAAAAAAAAAAAAAAAAAAAAAAAAAAAACAAGCCATGCAAAGGACTGTGAGTACCCCTGAAGGCAGTCCAGGTAGCCTGCGGCAAACATCTTATTTTGAACACCAGCGACGGCTTTAAAAAGGTCCGTCGTGAAAGCTGCACACCGCCGAAACGCCACCCAAGCAGAACAGCAGCAAAGCAGGCAAGAACAGGAAGCAAGCTGGAAGTAGAGCCGAGACAAAGCAGCAGCCGTCCGATCTGTGGTTTCACCTAACCAGAATATATTATTAGCACTGTACAATTTAGACTGAAAATGATGCAGTTGCAACAGAGACAGGACATACCTTCAGCAGAAGCGGATGCGCGCACACACTCATACAGGAGGGAGGACGAGAGGGACAAATCCGGACATCAGCATTTCCTATGACCACACTAGCATTAGCTGTCGGCATACAAATACCATGATGCAGAGAGAGGACACTTACCACGCCAAACAGGAGCATGCAGGAGCGACAGAGCAGCACACACAGCGGGACGCACGCAGTGGTAAAGAGGGAGCCGGCCTTTTACCGGAAGCAATGTGGAAAGCGGAAGAGCAGGGGAGAAGGCCGTCTTAAATACGAGCCCCTGCTCACTGATAGGCTATCAGGCAATCAAGGTGCGTTCCAGGTATATTACCTGCAAAGCGTAGACTATGCTGCCACACCTAGTACAGAGACTAACAGAATTTGAAATGTGACCCTCCAAGTGATGCAAGCACCCTCAAACTCTCCCATAGTATACAATACACAAATGACCAAATGAGCAGTTGACAGCAGATTTTACTTTCAAAACCTATTTATTGGCTGGCCAGTTGAATATGCTTTTATCGCTGCCATTGAACTTTTACAATATATATCTCAGCCATATACAATGTCAAGAAAAATAAATACCTTTGGTTTGTGAAAAATAAATGTTACTTCAAC